CGGGATGATGACAGGGTATGAAAATTAAAAATGTAATTAGTCCGTAAGTTAGGTAATGAAAAAATATTAGACAAGTATTTTTTATTTTGTCGTATAATAAAACTATACTTAGATAAAACAGATTACAGTTTAGGAGTGGGGGCTTTTTTTTTAAGGGGGGAAAATCATCGAATGACTGCTCCCGAGGAGTGGGGGCTAAAACGTCATTTCAACGTATAAAATGTACATAGAAGTGACGTCACGCGACATTTCGCATCGCACGTGCCACCCTACAAGAAATACCTCTTCGAGAATTACATGGCTTGATGTTTTGATAATGTACTATGAGTTCGTATGCGCTTTCGAAGTTTGCTTTCTGCAATGGTACACCAGTTACTTTTTGTTTTAAACATTTTATTTGTTTGTAAAACTATTGTATTACCGAGACAGAACCATTTTACTACAAGACGAAAACGAAATAGATTCAAATTCAAAGTCTTTATTGCTTCATGTGTGGGTACCAAGGTGTTATACATAATACATATTATTTTGGTTAAGCATTATCAACATGACCCTGTAAGGGCGCTGCAATTTATATTAAACTAGCTTTTACCCGCGGCTTCGCTCGCGTCACAAAAGGATAAAAGTAGCCTATGTGACATATACCAATACACACAGCGCAATCTATACCAATACTCTTGTTTTCCCTCAAGAATATAATTTTTTTCCGGGATAAAAGTACCCTATTATTTAATCCAGACTTCTAACTTTACGTCTGCAAAAATTCAAATCAATCGGTTTAGTAGTTACGGGGTGAAAGTGGAACAAACAAACAAACTCACTTTCCAATTTATAATATTATATATCCTTACTATATATATCATCAACAGCCTATAAATGCCCACTGCTGAGCAAAGCCTCTTCTCACACGGAGAAGGTTAGAGCGTTAATCACCACGCTTGCTCAATGCGGGTTGGCGATTTCAAACTTATAATTAGAAATTATAAGTCCAGGTTTCCTCACGATGTTTTTCCTTCACCGTTTGTCAGTGGTGTCTAAATAATCTTAGAAAGTACATATAACTCGGAAAAGTCACATTGGTACTTGCCGTTGGTAGGTTTCGAACCCGCACCCTCATGCATGAGAAGTGGGCGTCTTAAACCTCCGGGCCACCACGACTTAACTACTATATATATAAAACTATATAAATAAAAAAACATTGTAATATTAAAAGATTATACATAACATATTATTAAAGTATTACCACAATTGCTTCAAATGATTTTCGTTTATATTCTACATATTATACATATCTACCAATTCATCATTTTCCTTTTTATTGTTATTATTTTATTTTTTTAGTTTTATTGTTTATTCTCAGATTTCACGATGGCCCTGATATTAGCAATGTTTCTCGTCAATCATAATCTTTCCTACTTAACAATCGAGGCTAACACAAACCAGAGCCCAATACACAATAAAATGACGGACAAACATACAAGACAATAAAACAAACGCTTTGATCTATTTAACCAACTCGAGATCAAAGAGGTGCTGTGTTCACTAATATTACATTTCGTTATGAAATACAATTAATCTTATTGTATAATAATGTGTTTAATTCCAAGATTTATTGTTAAAAATATCTGTGTTTTGTTTAAAACTACTAGCTTTTGTCAGCGGTTTCGCTCTCGTTCCCTGTTCTAAATATCAACCTGACCGCTTCAGCCGTTTTGACGTGGTCGCATTTATCATATTTTTTTAATGGGACAAGTCCGCCACAACCTCCCAAAACCGTTGCAACTCCTGTGCACCAGGATCTACAGTAGTTACAACCATGAAAACACCGGAACGCTGAAGTCCGGCGCGTCCCAGGGACATGAGTAACTGTCTTGGTTCCCGCAACGAAGTGAATCAGAAGATATGATAAAAGGAGAACAAAAAAAATTATCATATTTTTAAATTATATAGGTATGAATATGAGCCTCGTCAACCAAACAACAAATAATTATATTTATTTCCATTCTGTTCACATATACATATATACAACTTTCAAGTATGTGGGAGAGCCATGCTTCGGCACTGCTGGGCCTGCTCGACCGGAGTGATACCACCAACGAGCAGAAAACCGACGTGAAGCAACGCTTGCGTTGTGTTTCGTCGTGCGAGTGAAGTTACCGGAGGTCCAATTATCCTCTCCAATCTCCCCAATATCCGAATCCCCAATAATCCTCAAATTCCTAATCCCTAAAAAGCCGGTAACGCACTCACAACGCCTCTGGTGTTCCAGGTGTCCATGGGCGACGCCGATTGCTTACCATCAGGTGATCCGTCTGCTCGTTTACCGGCTTATGCCATAAAAAAATATGTGCTAATACTTTCATCCATCTTTACTCACTTCTATTATACCTACATAATTGTGTAAGTTTGTGTGTTCATGTGCATATCTGTTACAAACATACAAACAGAAACTATCACATTTATAATATTAGTGTGATTAAAAGTCTATAGATTCCTACATGATCGAAACTTATTTGAGAAAAAATAAATTCCACGCGAGCGAAAGTCACGGGCATAAAGCTAGTCAATTACAAAAAAATAATTAATCTTTATTGAGTTCTGAAACTATGTGTTAATTAAATTTTCGTTTACAACTGTTATTAAAATTGATTATTACACACACGTATGTAATTGAAGATTTTAATAGAATATGTTTGTAAGCGCTAATCTCGGAAACTGCTGATTCAATTATGATATTTAAGTGTGTTTCTTTGCATTGCTTCGAAACTACTGGACCGATTTGAAAAATTCTTTCAGCATTGAAAAGCTTATTAATCTGAGAGTAATAATGACAAGTTGTTTTGCCGCGGGACGGAAACATAGATTTTACGGTGTATAGGATTGGGAAGAATCATAAAAAATCTAAAATACTTTATCCAAATCGGTTTTGAAGTGTTACCACGGCCTCACAGAAAACACAGTCAAAATCAAGCCTCGGGGACCTGACTCACACGACGAAACACAACGCAAGCGTTGGTTCAATACGGTTTTCTGCTCGTTGATGGTATCAGTCTAGTCCAGCCGGTCTTTTTTTTTTTTAAGGGGGGAAAATCGTCGAATGACTGCTCCCGCGTGGATGAGGCGGGAGGGAGTGTCAGACTCTTACTGACTAAAAACCACCCCGTTCCTTCTCCTGCACGTCGAGCCCCGGTTCTCCGCGACTCCGAATCGGCATCGGCCCTATTGGGCCCCATCTGTGGTGGTCTGATGGCTCTTTGAGGCGCGCGCGGAACGCGAGCCGCCGTACGCTCGGGACGCGCCGTACGCTCGGTAGTCGAGCCGGTCTAGCAGTGCTGAAGCATGGTTCTCCTACACATAATATATAGAATCTCTATCAAAAACGGAGGTCAATCCAGAGATTTTTCGGTTAAAATGGGTTCTAATATTAATTTGAGCTATAACTCAGTAATTGTATCATTAATAAAGTGCAATAAAATTTGAACACTATTAGTAGAGATGAAAGGTTTATTGTCGGTTGTAAAAGTTAGATTTTACGACTAAATTATGGTGTTTATAAGTTTGTGGGATAATTATTGTATTATGACCGTCATTATTATCACACTCGTGTATCACGCCAAATGGGTAGGCAGACGTGTACCTACTAATAAATAAATCATCTTTTTCGACAAATTAAGCTGTCAAATTGTACAGGATGAGATAAGGTCTATTGGTAAAATTGTTTGCCAGAGTCTGTTTCCTGAAGGGAGTCTTCAAGGCCCGAGTGAATAGGTTGCTTATGGGACGACGTGCTCCATCGTAGGCCACATCGCGCACCACCAGGCGAGATAGTGGTCAAATGTCGATCCATAAATACATCAACAGCCTATAAATGCCCCCTACTGAGCAAAGCCTTCTTCTCACACGGAGAAGGTTTGAGCATTAATCACAACACTTGCTCAATGCGGGTCCTCGATTACAAACTTATAATTATAAATAACTAGCTACTTCCGCGCGGTTTTACACGCTCTGCTCAGCTCCTATTGTTCGTAGCGTTATGTTTTATAGCCTATAACCATCCTCGATAAATGCGCTATCCAACACAAATAATATAGTATAAGAGTATAAAATAAGCTCAGATTTCCTGACGATGTTTTCCTTCACCGATTGTCAGTGGTGTCTAGATATCTAATCTTAGAAAGTACATATAACTGCGAAAAAGTCACATTGGTACTTGCCGTTGGTAGGTTTCGAACCCACACCCTCATGCATGAGAAGCAGGCATCTTAAACCTCCGAGTAACAACGACAAAAAATTAAACACTATGTTATTAATTAGTACCTAATAAAATATAGGTAAGTGCGACGCCCCGCAGTCATACAATGGCTCTTTGATGTCAGTCACTTTAATGGCACTAAGTGGCACTAAATGGCACTAAATGTGGCACACTTGGGTAATGGTTTAAGTGCTCCGTACTAAGTTGGGAGGGCACGTTTGATTTTCTTGATTTTGTGGTTAGAAAGGGGTGCGAAAGTTCATGTTAGATTATGTAGGTAGTTCACTAGCATTTGTCCGCGACTTTCGAATTGGGATAATGACAGGGTATGAAAATTAAAAATATAATTAATTCGTAAGTTAGGTAATGAAAAAATATTAGACACGTATTTAATTATTTTGTCGTATCATAAAACTATACTTAGACAAAACGAATCAAAGTTTAGGAGTGGGGGCTAAAACGTCATTTCTACGTATAAAATGTACATAGAAGTGACGTCACACAACATTTCAAATCAATATATCGTCGAAAGTATTCGTTTCTGTAAGAAAATAAAAAATACGTGTCGAATGATTTAAAATAATCTACCAGACGGACATTAAAATTAAAATTAGGCATCTACCCTAAAATGACAGATATGGCACCATATTTGAGTACAACTTTAAATTGAATAGAGTTTTCTGGCGTAAGCTAAAGAAATATTATGTCCTACGTAAAAGTATTAAGTGCTATTTCTCTTTTGTTTCAGAGACCTACAAGGCAACAATATCACGATCATCTTTCAGAGCGACTTCCAAAACCTGAAGGATTTGAAAACTTTGTAAGTATTCTAGTCGACAATATGTTTTTATTGTTTTTTTGAAAAATATCGTATAAGTGTATTTTGGGTGTCGCGGAGAACCGCGAGTTATCGGGGCTCCGGCTCGAAGCGCAGGAGAAGGAACGGGGTGGTTTTTAATCAGTAAGAGTCTGACACTCCCTCCCGCCTCACCTGGATGGGAGCAGTCATTCGATGATTTTCCCCCCTTAAAAAAAAGATCTAGAAAGAGCGCACAGATCACCTGTTGGTATGCAATCGGCGCCGCCCATAGACGCCTGGAACACCAGAGGCGTTATGCACTCGGCATTACGGGCCTTTTGGGAATTTGAAATTTGAGGACTGTGGGGGTTTCTAGGATTGGGGAGAGAGGGGTAATGTGGCCTCCGGTAACCTCACTCACACGACGAAAAAGTGTTTGTGATTGTTTCTATTGACTTACAGATTACTAAACAATTTCCTCATTAAAAGTTTTGTATTGACAAATATAAAAACAATAATTAATTTTTTTTCAGACAATTATCGGAAAATCTTATTCACACGATCGAGAGAGATGCCTTCTTGGAGCTGAACGCTTTGGAACGACTGTAAGTACAATTACAATAACAAAAACTAATATAAAATACTACTAAGATTTCATAAAAAAGTAACCTTTAAAAAGATACAATTAAAAACCTCATTATAAAGTTACGTCGTCCAGCAGAACGTGAGGTTCCAATTTGAAAATGAACCAATCACGATAGCTGATTGTGTTCGCACCGCTAGCTGTGATTTTGCAGCGACGTTACAGCGTTTCTTAACCTTTTTTATGACTTTAGTGGAAAAACCTTTTATGGCTTTTAAAGTCACACTTAATTAAAGAACGAATAAACTTTGTTAGTATAATTAAATTGTGTTAAAAGCATTTTATATTATAACATACGTTTATTTAATAGACTCTTAAGAATTAAAATTATATATTTGTTTAATACAATTTATTTTTACACGAAGAAAAATAACTTACATCTTAACCTTAATAAAATAAAAGAGCTGTCAAAAAATTCCAAGATGGCTGCCTGTCAAATGTCAAGCAACCCAGGTTAAGAGACGCTGGTGTATATTTACATTTAATTACAGGAGACTGAACAATAATCGGCTGGGCCATTTGCCAGAGGGGATATTTTTGAGATTGAGACACCTTCAGAGATTGTGAGTAGTTGACCTTGTAAGGTCAATGGTGTGGTCCCTGTTGGTCCCTTCGGTATTGGTGTTCTTACCCTGGATGGTGCTGTGTGTTGAGTGGTGATGTCAAAATATCTGTCAAAAAATCTTCGTATCTTGAAATTTCAAAAACTTGCAACACTAAATTATTTTTCTAGCTTGTCAATCATGATTTTTAAAAAAAGTGGCATTCCCAGCTTCACTTGATGGTAAATATTTTTACGAAATTCCCCAATTTCACTTTCACATAATGTCCTAATAATGACAACCAACAAAAAAAATCTATTTCATGCTGATAAAAAAGTTACTTTATTGAAGGTTTCAATTACTATTTATTAACTATCATCACCTACATTTCTGTTTTACCAAAAAACGGTGTGGCCTAAAACATATACGACGCCATATTTTGTCCTTTATTATAAGGCTCCAAAACTTATGGGTCAACTCCTAGGGGATTAGAAACTTTGAAGAGGCGACATGGACTTTAAGCTTCAAGTGTAGTAACCTGCCTCAAGGGATTAAAATATGAACACTTACCTGTTAAAATTATAAAACTGTGTATGCATCTTCGTGGTTAAAAATACTGTAAACCACTGTAAATTAAGCATTTTTGCATCTTTAACCTCTTTGAAAGACGCCTGTGTGCTTACTCCTGAAACCAATCTCAATGTCAATGCAATTTCAATCCAATAATATTCAATAATTATTCAATGTCAACACTATACAACCACAATCGTAGCTGTTACAATAGCATTCAGAATATAGAATATAAAGCCAAACTCAATACCATTTAGTTCATTCAATATCCACGCGATACAGATGCAATGGGCGCTAGTGTTGCAACTCGAGAATACGAAATTTTAAAATCGATCGGAATTGGATTCAAGAGTAAGCCCTTGTTTTACTTTAGAAATTGATAATTGGCGTTAACAATTTTAAGAGACAAGCCAGCCACCACCTCCCATTTTCGCTGCAATTTCTGTACACCAGGATCTACAGTAGATTCAACCATGTAAGCACTGAAACACTGAAGTCCAAAGTCCCAGGGACATGTCCCTATTAACTGTTTTGGATCTCGCTCGCCCAAAACGTCCAGCTTAAAGAGAGGAATGATTCTCTTGAAGGACATGCGAAGGATATTTGACATCACCCTACACCTTATGACGTCACAGCACACATCTCCCCCACCCATAAGCTTCTGCCTAAACCGGGTTCTTCGATGTCTATAAACTTTTTGTTTAATCGATTCTTTTTAATTTTCCACCCAGCGCCGCTAGCATAAACCTCATAATACCCACATACATTACCATAATAATAACAGAAACCAAAAAAAATACCAAAAAAAAAAAACGAAAAAAGAAGTTTTCTACATTTTTTTTTTATTTTATGGCGTATTTTGTGGCATTTTTATGAGTTTTTCATACAAACAAAATAGAAATATTATTTTTATCTATATTTTTTTAACCCATTACTTGTCATACCTAAACAGAATAATGTATTAAATAAACATATACATTTTTTTTATAATAATTTTTCTTAAATTAAATCTAAAACCATTTTGATTCGTAACACAATACTCTAAAAAGAAACGGCGAATCTTATTCCGAGGGTAAGTACTTCATGTTATATTACTAACTGTAAATTTTAACAATTTCATTTAACGATTACACTCAAAATAAAACCCCAATAAATAATAAAACAAAAACAATTCAACAACAGCTTCACGAAAACAATAAAACATGTTGTTAGAACAAATAAAAACTCGTAAAAATGTTGTTAAAAACGTCATAAAATGTCCCATAGCTAACAGTACTTGCTTCACCCATTTCATGGCTTGGCTGCAACGGTGTGACCCCAAACCAATAGGGCTAACCCACCCCCGTAACATTACGCTTTGTACAAATAAAAAAGCAAAAAAAAACAGAACAAAATTTTAACAAAACAAAGGAATTAACCACGACATTATTGTGTTTTTAACAAAAAAAATGAGATAATTTAACAACGGAAAATGTGAATTAATTGTATTACGTCATATTTAACATGATGTTTTATTTTATTTTTAACAAACTGATTTTGTGAATTAACATTAAATTTATTGATATTTTTGGGGACTTAATGCATTATTATATTTTGATTTGTCTAATAAGATGTTGGTCCCATGTTTTGGTTTTCGTTACAAAACCAATTTTCTTAAATTTTTTAAAGCATTTGTGTTTAAATACTATGTATATCGTAACTTCAAACTCAGTAAGGTAATGCTTAAGGAAAATTACGAAAATGAGTTGTAATAGTCTATATATTTATATTTATAATTCTGCTGTACGTGCGTATGTCATTGAACTCCTCCTAAACGGCTTGACCGATTTAAATGAATTTTTCTGTACGCGTTTGTGTGGCGCCCTGGATAGTTTAAATTCAGAAATCAGCCCTGCAGATGGCGCTGCAGTCGGAGTCTAGGTTAGTTTTCCTAAACGGCTGAACTAATTTGTATGAATTTTTGTTTATACATTCAAGTGGATTTGCAGGACAACGTCTGTTGGGTCCGCTAGTATATATATAAATAAAAATGAATTTCCGTTCGTTAATCTCGCTAAAAGTCGAAAACGGCTGACGCGATTTGGCTAATTTTGGTCTTAAAATGTTCGCGGTGGTCCAGGGAAGGTTTGAAAGCTGTGAGAAACAAGTTTTAGGCAGTACTATGTTCCTGGTCAACTAGTCATGTATACATAGGGTGTTACATGGTACATTGGCGTATTTTTTTGCGATTTTTTTTACTGTACCTCTATTTAGAGATTTAAGCAAACCAAATTTCTCCACTACTAACCTCACTACTGATAACGCATATCAAAAAGGGACTGTACTACAAATTAACTACATATTACATCGTATAACAAAAAATACTGATTTGCACACAAATTGTTCAATATTACAACGGAATTTCCAAAATAGGTAAGGTTAGGTTTTTTTTAAGGGGAGGAAATCGTCGAATGACTGCTCCCGTCTGGGTGATGCGGGAGGGAGTGTCAGACTCTTACTGACTAAAAACCACCCCGTTCCTTCTCCTGCACGTCGAGCCGGAGGCCCGGTAACCTAAGGCCTTAGTACGAGTTCGATTTACGTTTAAAGTATTCGAACCGAATACGCATTCGGCACCCTTATTGGCCGGCGCCAATGAAGCAACCAATCACAGCGCCGAACGCGTACTCGATACGATTACTTGAAACGTAAAACAAACTCGTAATAAGGCCTCTGTTAGGTTTTCCGTGACAGGTTAGATTAGGTTATGAATTATTAGAATTACAAAATAGGTTAGGTTAGGTTACGAATTATTAGATAGTATAATTGATTTATTGATAAGCATATTTAGTGTGCAATTCAGTGTTTTTGGTGGTAATTTCGAATATTTTGATTGGAAAAAAAAAGGGAATTTACAGTTAAAGTTATTAAATCCCACCCTTTTTTCACATTTTTTTTTTTATCTTTTGCCTGCTATGGCCATGTACCACGCTCTTGCGTAGTACAAGTACACTACGTATAAGTTTTTATTGTGTTAAAATAGAACAATAAAATTTAATTCATAGTGAACATGATGACAAGATGGCTTCCGGCGTCACGGTGCCCTATTATAGTGGAATTTATGCGAGATTACGTACTACGTCGTGATTTGGAATTCATTACAAAGTGACATACATACATTATGTATATATAATTCTAGCAGCCCGTCCCGGCTTCGCACGGGATAGACAATTATTTATTTTTGGAAATTTGGATTGTTGTAGTGACATAACTACTATAGTTGGACATATGCTACCGCGGAGTTTTTTGTAGACATTATGATGTTCTTCAATATTGTTGTACCTACATTATTTTGTTCTATCGCTAATATTTTCGGCAACGCATTCGACGAAAGACATTTTAAGACTCATTTTTCTACACCTTCGGTTACATTGTTCAAATTTTACCAAAGATCCCTAATTTTTTTTCAAAATAAAATGTAGCCTATGTCAAATTGGAAGAATGTAGCATTCTATTGGTGAAAGAATTTTTTAAATCGGCTCAGTACTTTTTGAGCCTATTCATTACAAACATACAAAAATAGGTACAAATCTTTCCTCTTTATAATATTAGTATAGATATAGATATAGATTCACTTCATGACGTCACATATTAAACTCTCAAAGAGATCGATAGAGATGTAACCAGGGTTCCACACTCATAATTAATAGGGTAGTAGACAGACCTCGTTGGCCGAGTGCTCCCAAGTGCAACTGCCGGACAAAGGGTCTCGGGTTCGATTCCCGGGTCGGGCAAAATATTACTAGGTTTTTAAAAATTCTCAGTAGTAGCATGGAGTCTGGAATTGTGCTCGGTATATGGCAATAGGCCCACCCCCTATTACATGGGACTCATAACATAAATAGTGAAAAGTGGGTGTTACATTGTACAGTGGCATAATGTGCACCTCTTCCTACCCCTTTGGGGATAAAAGGCGTGATGTTATGCTTATGTTATGTTTAGACAGTGAATGAAAAAATTACATTTATTATTATAATTAAAAATGTATCCTTAGCTTTAAGCGACGTAGCCATTCAACCCACTTACATTAAACACTTCCTTTAAAACTATTAGATATTTACAGAAACTCCTTTCTAAACTTGCTCTATTTTCTATACGAGCTTCGAAAATAAAAGAAAGATCTAACCAACCATATCTTTTAACATTTCTTTTCAAAAGAGCAACTGTGAGAGAGCTTTCAATGTAAGTCGAGCGTGTGAAGGATAAAACATGCATCGTACACTGTGTGGCAGGGAAAATAGCGCAGTCTGTTTTCTGCTTGTTCAGCGGTAGTGAGAGAACTGTAAGATTCTATTTTGTGGGAATCTTAGAGCCGAAAATTGTTGAAGTAAAAATATGTTCTGGATGTTTTTAGTCGTAAATTATTATGTTTTTAGCTTACTCACGTAATTATTTGACGAGGAACTCGACTA